CTTTCAAAAATTATTTGACTGTTTCATGTAGCCAAATCGTTTCTATTTCAACATCGAAACTTGTGGGTCATTACAACCGAGAGCAATTATATTTTCCAGTTTAACTGTTTTGAAACGAAAATTACAAAACCTTTTAGACAATTTAACACAAGAAGGTCTTTGAAACTGAATTAATTAACGAGTTTTGTAAATATTTGTAATAAATTGATGTATATTATGTAAATATTGTTCAATTATCCTTTTCATAAGTCAGTCAGTCGGTCAATTACAACGTGGAACTTCATACGTATGTGCGTCAGTTCAAGTTGCCATACCGTATTAACACGGAGACGCCACCGTCAGTTCAAATCCCATGTTGGTGGAGATAGTAGAAGAATTACTGGTTACGGAAAATATTAGGGATCGAAGGTATTATTCGAGTATAGATATAGATGATGAGGAATTCTGAAGATTAGAATTTCAGAGAACACAAAGTGTTGATGCACCTGCGCCATTGCAAACGATTTTGGGCCATGTCGTTCTAGGTCTCTAACCATTAGTGACATTCGTATCACGGACCCCAACCAGGTAGCCTACATCTACCTACATGACTCAGTTCATTTGTCAGTGAATTCATAGATTTGTGCCATGTCTTTTACTTTCCACCCCTATCTTTCTTCCAACCTGCTACTACCTGATCGTAGCTCCTACCTTGCCTATCATGATGACCCAACCGAGCTATATCGGCTGGAACATATGTTTCTGAAGGTCCTACCATGCCAGGCAGGTCCATTGGAGAACGATGAGACTAAAAGCAGCTACTCAAGGTCTGAGGGCGAAGTCGTACTGCTGACTGTGATGGAGGGGTGTGACAGCAGTAAGGTGTTTCCATGGGACAACCAACATCTGCAGTGATGCTGCCTTCTGACATGGAAGGAAGGGTTAGAAAAGGTCGACCCTAAAAATGTCACACCTCTCCGGCGTTAAGGGTGCCCACTAAGGGCTTTTAAGAGTGGAGCTGATACTCAGAAAACCTTTCAACAAAGGGCCGTGCGTGACCGGCCTGAAGCAGTATTCCCCTAGGCTCTACGGTCATACACCCAGGTCGTTAAGACCAACACTAATCTATCTTTCCAGGTTCCTCAAGAAACAACCTTCCACAGTATGCTCAAACGGGAATTAACATCTACCCTCGTACCCATAAAAGCACACGAGACCAGATTGGTCACAATCAAAACGTTTCTACACCTCTTCATAAATCTTATCTCCTCGACCAACCCTTCTTTCTATCGTTTATAATCTCACGCCACTGAAGCAAACGGTATGAGCTCACGAAACATTATTCCTGGTCTTTTGAAACTCTGTATGAAATTACATATTAGAGCTCTAAATTTTCGGACCCTATACCAAACGGCTCAACAGGCTTCATTAGCTAGAACTCTGGAATCCCTAGTGATCGATGTATGTTGTTTCTCCGAAACGCGCATACAAGATCCGAGTAAAATCATCAATCTGATCTCACCTAGTACAGATAGAGAAACAACACGGTTTACGCTCCGTGTTTCTGGTGGCCCTGATGCCGCTTCTTGTGGCCTCGCCGGCGTAGGTATAGTATTAAGTCGTAGGGCAGAACTAGCTCTCTTAGAGTGGATCTCGACAGACAGTAGCTTATGCGCTGTCCGATTAAACGGGACGGTACGGACTCGTAAAGATAGGGAAACCCGCCGTTGCCTCTTCGTCGTATCTGCCTACTCTCCGACTAACTGCAGTTCAGACGACATGAGAGATCAGTTTTATAAACACCTCTCTAAACCTCTCCAAAATGTTAAGCGCTCTGATATAGTAATAATCGCAGGTGACTTTATCGCTCAAATAAGTAGACCCATCGAAAAGGAAAGACACCCTGATGGATCTTTTTGTGTTGCGACTAATAAAAAAGATAATGGTGACCATCTGCTGCAGCAATTCCTAGCAAACACTAACTCTTGGCATAAGGTAAAACAGCTCTTGACCTGGCGACCTCCAAAGTCGACCCAACTAGATCAGACCGCCACAAGCCATGGGTGGAATGATTCTATTGAAAACTGTCGTTCATTCTGGAGCACTTGTTTAGACTGAGATAATGCTTTAGTGCGAGCGCGTATTTGTTTGCGCTTAACGACGCGAGAAAAATATCGTAACGAAAAGCCTTCGCAATGATCAAGAACGATGGTGAGCAGAGAAAGCAAGGGAGACGGAAAAGGCGACAGGTGGCAACTACTCGGACTCGTCAAGGAAATTGGAATTGGGTACTCGAATGTGAGTGAAGCTATCTCGGAAATGGATGGTCTTACTATTCATTCTCAATCCAGAAGATTGGACCAATGGGCAGAACACTTCAGGGATCAATTCAACTGGCATTCAGCCACACTTCGGTTGCCTACGATCTCCAATCATCCTGAATGGCAAATCAACATAAGTCCTCCAAATCTTTATGAATTCGAAAAAGCTATCGGAAATCTGAAGCAAGGTAGAGCGGAAGGGTCTGATAGGCTTATAGCGAACTGTAATCGGAATTCTTTAGTTCGAAGTATCCGTCAGGGATGTCCAATTCCCTTATTCTTGTTTAATTTTGTCATAGACATGCTCCTAGATATAACATTTTCGTCGTCTGAATTTTCAGGATTTTTCTTACCAGGAGGATCGCTTATTGACCTAGAATATACCTATGACATAGTTCTATTCGGTGAAGACGATGAAAAAAAGGCAGTCTTTTGACTACCCTGAGCAACAATGCAAGCATGTTCTGGATGCGATTTTCACCTGAACTAGTTATATGGAGTGAAGTAGTCGAGCGAGTCAACCGCTCTACTTATCTCGGGAGTCTCATCAGTACTGATGGCCTGGTGACTGACGAAATCTCAGCACGGATACAGAAGGCTCGATTGGCTTTTGTCAAGTCGCATCGCTTATGGCGCAGACGAGATATCCGTTTGCTAACCAAAGGACGAGTGTGCTGTGCAGCAGTTCGCTCCGTCCTAATTTATGGCTGTGAAACATGGCCGCTGAGAGTAGAAGACATTCGTAGGTTATTATTATACGATTATTATCCTGGAACAACAGAGTAAGCAATACTAAAGTTAGGAAACGCTTACTAGGTATGGATGGTAGATCAATTGATGAAATTTCACTACTTCATCAATTGAGGTGGTTGGAACATGTATACCTTATGCCTAACCACCGACAAGCCTCGTCGAGTTTATCACGAAGTACACAAGAAATTTATTGTATTTTTTAAATCAAATTACGCATGAAACAATGCGTTGTCACTTGACATTATTCAATTCAACTATCATAAAAACAGACTTTTACTAATGCTACAATGTTATGTGTAGTGACAATAAACTCTGTATAACCTATAAATATTATTCAAACGATTTCGTTGTTCAGTGTTAAATTATTAAACACATAGTTAACTAATCCATTATCACAAAGCAAAACAATGGAATGATTTTTTTTTTGTCACGAGATCTGATTTACATTCAACAATTTGAATATTTGAATGTCTATAGAAAATAAGAGGAAGCTTTTTTTGAATCTCAACGATAATTCTTCAGTTTGAACTTGAAAAACATCAACAATACTAGCATGATTTTGCTAAAAGGCTAAACAAGTGTGCATGTATTTTTTTTTTCAGTCTTCCCATGGTATTTATTATAAGCTTTAATTAATAATAATAATAAAATTAATATTTGCATAGATGTTTATTTATGTAATCGGTATTTGAATACAAAATGATTACACAACTATTGAATATTGTTTGTTCATTTATTGACTAACAGGAAGTGAGTGTTTAGAGTGGACAATTCAGTCGACGACAATCACAAGACGTGTTTCTATTGTTGTTGTTGCAAGCTTCTGACTGACTGACTGACACACACACACACACACAAAGAAAATCTACTAGGCGAGGCGCGATTGAATAAACAAACAAACAGACAGATAGACAGAAAGAAAAAAAACCAATCAACAGTGATGATGAGATAATGAGACAACAATATTTCGAATGTGGAAACAAAAGTAAAGTAAAGTGGTCCATTGAAAATGATTACAATTAAAAAGGGACATGGTCAAGATCACACATAGTTTCATAGGAGAAGAAGGAAGTTGGATGATTATCAGTTCTGTTCTTGTTTTAATCTAAACAGATAAACAGAATGAGACCTGAGAAACTAATTTGTTTCGGTTGTTAATTGTGTCAAGAGTAATAAATAGGCTGTTGAATGATGATGGACAGACAAGATGTATAGGAAAACAAAGCGTTAAAAAAAAACATCACATAATCATGTGACTACGTGGTTCAATATTAGCCTGCTTTTTGTGTTCGCACAAATATGTATCAGCTTCATTTGTTGATATTGATCACAATTATGATCGAAATGGAAATGAACCGTTGAAAAAATACAACCATTCATTCAAAATAAACAAAGTGGAAAGCTACTACTGAAAATAATAAAAGTAGTATATTTGTAATTGTAACAGAAAACAAGCATCTCTTATGTAAATATATGTAACGCACATACATACAGAAATAGATGTGTGTGTTTGTAGACGAGACAAGCCAAAGACTAAACTAGAATATTGAGTGGATGTAAAGAGCAGGACAGATTAAGAATGAGTAAGTGAGTGAGTAAGGAGAATACAAACATGTCAAATGATTTAAGGATGAAGTATTAAAAAGGGGCATCAATTAATACAATAATGAAAAGAACACTCAAAAGTTTTATGTAACGACACTCTTGTTCGTTTCTTCAACACTTTGAATAGTTTTAAATAAACTGACATAGTCAACAATTTGCGATATTTGCAAAGACGAAATGAAGCTTATACCATAACTGTATATGTTTTTATATTCACATATGTGGGTGTGTATGTGAGAGTGTGTCAAAAGCAACTGTTGAGACCGGGATACTTATTAGCTAATATAATTAAGAAAAAAAAAATATATATATATATATGTGTTTCTATTTTACTTGAACACTTTAACCATCAGGTTGAGTTTTTAAATATTCATCTGGACGACGATGTTGTTCAAGTGCACGAATAGTAGTTCTACTATGTGGAAGTTCAGATTTTCGTTGAATCATAGGAAATTTATCACGACGTCGTTCATTAATGATGCCACGAAGTTCCGTCTAAAGAAAAAAAATAAATAAAAACGCAACACTAGTATCATTTTATATATTGAATAATATGATTACACAAATTAATAATCCTATTTGATAAAGTCTAATTATTATGAAATAACAATTCTCATTTGCGCAATAGGTTATTTGACCTTGAAAAAAATATATCTGAGGTTGGAATTCCATTTAACCTACTTAATTTTGACAATCAATAGTCCATCAGTAAACTTAACATCAGTTTGATTGAAAATTAAGTGTAATGAATGAAGATAGTTTACTATGAAAAAAAATATGTATTATTTATGGAAAGACTTTCATTACTAGCCGGTCTTACAGTCCTTCCAAATACACATTAATCGTGATATATATATTTTGCATCAGATATTTGTATTTTGAAGAATGACTTCTGAACGACACACTTCATTGTTTACCACTTTTATAAACCGCACTGAAAACAGTATCCAACATGATTATACTTACTTACAAGTATCAGCAAATTTTGCTGATACGACGAGCTATGTTTTGTGGTGTAGGAGTAGGTTGGAAGAAAGTTAGGGGCGGCCAGACCAAAACATGGCACAAATCCATGAAGTCACTGACTAGTGGACTGAGTCATGTTGGTAAATGTAGACTACCTGGTTGGGGTCCGCGAGACGAAAGTCATCAATGGTTAGAGACCTTGAACGACATGGCTCAAAATCGTTTGCAATGGCGCAGGTACATCCACTCTTTGAGCTCTCTCAAATCCTAATCTTCTGGATTCGTCAGCATCTCTACCTTTGTCTTTCTAACCTTATCTCACTGAATTATATTTTTTTGAATAATATCTTCAAACCCTAGTCTTCTTTATTAACATTAATACCTCTACTATCTTTATCACTATGGGATTTGATTTGACATTTGCGTTTCTGTGCTAATAATGTGGTATGGCAACATGAACTTATGTACATACGTACGAAGTTCTACGTTGCAACTGACTGACTGATCAGCAAATTTTACAACGATCAATTTATTACATTGTTAAAGATTTGTAGATGAAATGGATACTTCTGGTATCGTTGCACTTGATCGCCGTTAAGAATAACACAATGACATCCCTACATAATTATCTTATGTATTTCCGTTAAAAAGACAAAATAATTAAATCTTCACCAATAGCATTATATATTATGTAAGCTTATACACCGATTTCCAAATCACTGGTTTACGCTTTTTTAAGCGCTTATTGCTTTTCACCTCATTCATGAACTAATTAATTTTATGGCATAAAATTTTGTAGTATAATCTAGTGAAAGGTATTATTAGATTTTTCAGTCAACCTACATCATCTTCAGCTTCACGTTGAAGATTTATCAATGAACCATTGATATCTTCATCTACAGGAGGTATGTCATCATTTTCAACAGTATTATTATTTGTAGATGAAATTCCAGTATTTACACAATAGTCATCTATATTAGTTGATGATGAATTAGATACTACTGAAATAGATGAATCTTGATTGATTGTTGATGTTTCTTTCATAACAATAGCATATAATGGATTGCCTTTTGCAGTTTCATGTAATGTAGCCCATACACGTTCACGTCGTTTAGCTTCTTCTCTAATTCTAAAATATCAAATGATAAAAGTTTCAATTGATATTTTATTTTCAATATCAAAATTTTAGCGAAAAAATAACAGACTACTTAAAAATAAGAAAAACACAAATTCTGATATTCAATAATCTTCACATAAAACAACATGAATTAGCCTATGCTTTTTCTGTGTATTTCGATTAGCAGTGTAATCACCGTTGTACAGTTAGTAGAAATTCAAGTTTGCCATAATAAGCAGAATATATTGCACAAGTTGAAATTTTCGAAATAGCCATTAAGAAAAATTACTGTTTATGTTTTGTAATATAAAAGTACTCAACACTTGGTTTCTGGTATTTGTATATTACTCAATTTGTCGGCCTATGCTCCATTGGGGGTAACAGGCGTAAGTAAGTAAGTAAGTAATTTGTCCCGACCGTAGCTGCTACCTTGACGTGGTAGTCAGGTGTGCTTATCGTCATGACCCAACCAAGCTATATTGGCTGGAACATATGTTTCTGAAGGTGCTACCATGCCAGGCAGGTCAATTGAAGAACGATGAGATTAAAAGCAGCTACACAAGGTCTGAGGGCGAAATCGTACTGATGACTGTGATGGAGGGGTGTGACAGCAGTAAGGTGTTTCCATGGGACAACCAACATCTGCAGTGATGCTGCCTTCTCACAAGGAAGGAAGGGTTAGAAAAGGTCCACCCTAAAAATGTCACACTTCACCCTACCTCACGGATTTCCGTCTCCAGCGGTAAGAATGCCTGCCCACTAAGGGCTTTTAAGAGCGGAGCTAATACTCACAAAACCTTTCATAAAAAGGCCGTGCGTGACCGGCCTCAAGCAGTTGTTCGTTGGGCTCTGCGGTCATGCACCCAGGTTTCTAAGCCCAACACTAATCTATCTTCCTTTTCAGGTCCATCAAGAAACAACCTTCTACGGTGCGGGCAGCCGGGAAGTAACAACCGCTCTCATACCCGTACCAGCACACGAGACCAAATTAGTCAAAATCAAATCTTTCTTACACCCACTAATATCTCTCTTATCTCTAGTCGCATTCCTTCAGCCCACTGCACCACTAATGTAAACAATGCGAGTTCACAAAACGTCATTCCTGGTTTCCCGAAACCCCGTTCTAAACTACATGTTGAAGCATTTAATGAACGGACATTGTGTCAAATAGGGCAACAGGCATCATTCACTAAAACTTTAGAATCTGTCTAGAAATTCACATCATTTCAAATCATCATAGTTCATGTTAGTACGTACAATGAATAATTATAAATTCTTTCAAATAAAACTTTGTATAGGTGCATTTAAATAACAAACAGTATAAAGATTATTGAGTTTCATTGTTTAACAACAACAACCGTTAGAAACTTGGAAGTATTGAATGGATATTTCTTTCAAGTATAAAACTCATCAGCAGTTCTCATCAATATCAAATGCTAGCTTAGTGGTATAGAGTTCGCATGCAAGACTGCACATCTTAAATTCGATTCTCGTAAGCAAAGGAAGTTGTGATTGTTGAGTCGTGTATAGCTTGAAAAAAAGAAACATCCATTCAATGCTTTCACATTCTTAGCAGCAATGACATAACAATGATTGATTTATAAATGTCGATAAAAAAGCTTAATTGTGTTGCATGTCATTTTCTTTTCTTTAACTAACTTTTGTCTTTCTTCTTTATAACGTTGTGTACAATTGTCAAAAAGTTTTTGATTCATTTCCATGAATAATTTTAAAGCATTGTATACAAGACCATGAATTGTTCTGAAGAATAAATAAAAAGAATAACGAACGGTTAAGTCAAATGATTCACGAAAAAAAAAATTAAGACAATTTTAATCAGCGTATCATATGTCAGTCAGTCAGATGCAACGTAGAACTTTGTACATAAGTACATCAGTTCATGTTGCCATACCACATCAGCACAGAGATATAATGGTTAATTCAAATCCAATAAGTATTAGCAGTAATCGGAAAGGTTAGGATTAGAAGATACTATTCAAGAAGTATGATTCAGTGAGAAAAGTTTAGAGAGTCGAAACTAGAGGTGTTGAAGAATCCAGAAGATTAGGATTTGAGAGAACACAAAGAATAAATGCACCGGCGCCATTGCGAACAATTTTGAGCCATGTCATTCAAGGTCTCTAACCATCGATTATTATCATCTCGCGGACCCCAAACAGGTAGTCGACAATTACCGACATGGCTCAGTCCACTAGTCAATGACTTCATGGATTTCTGCCATGTTTTGGTTTGGCCACCCCTAACTTTCTTCCAACCTATTCCTACACTACAAAACAAAGTTCGTCGAGGCAGTCGGTGCTTCGGCATACGCAAGACATGTTCCAACCACCTCAACTGATGAAGTTTCACCACTTCATCTATTGCTCTCCCATCCTCACCTAGTACTCGTTTCCTAACGACAGCATTGCTTACTCGGTTGTCCCACAGTATAGGAGCAATGCTTCGAAGACACCTATGATCGAAAACCACTAACCTACGAATATCTTCTACTCTCACTGGCAATGTTTCACAGCTATATAGGAGAACGGAGCGAACTGCTGCACAGTACACTCGTCCTTTGATTAGAGAACGGATATCACGCCTACGCCATAAGTGACGTACATATCATATGTTCTCCTGATTATCGACTGAATGGCGGAGATGTTCAACATCTGAGAAGAAGAAGAAGTAGAACGGAATAAAATGGACAGCTCGGATACAAATGGACAATCTAAGCTTTGCAGATAATCTATCTATCTAGCTCTTCTATCACACATGTAACAACAAATGTAAGAGAAGAGACCACCACCAGTGTAACAAAAGCCTCTGCACAACTTGTTCTCAACATACACAATGGAAGAATCAACCAATCTCTAAAACTCAAAAACAACTGTCAACAAACATCAAAGTCAAAATTTTCGAAACCAATGTAAAAACAGTAACACTGTATGTAGCGGAAATCAATTAACTGTGCCATAAGTCAAAGCCTCACTTCCAATCTTAAAGACCAAAGGAAAAGAGGAAAATACCAAAGAAAACATGACATTGAGAATCGGCGACAAGGATGAGAAGAAAGTTATGAACAGATCTGCATAGAAGAGATCAATAAAATAGATGGATTGATTTAAATGCTTTGAAAATCTATTACTATTAAATAAAACAAAACCACCTTGAATTGTCATACCAATATATACTACTTATTAAACAATAATAGTAGTAAGAGTTAGTTTTTAAAAAAAAACGATTTACTTATTCCAATGTTCTTTTGTACGATATAAAGCAGGAAACATAATTGGTAAAATTTCTTCTACATGATCATGCATTAATTGTAGAATATAATCATTACTCCAAAAATATAATGCACGTTCAGCAACCTGTACAGAAGAAATAAATAGCAAGCAAGAAAAAAAAGGATGTTCAACTTGAATAAATTCATTTTATTCTCAGTTAATCAGTCAGTCCGTCAGTCAGATGCAAAGTAGAACTTTGTACGTAAGTTACATCAGTACATGTTGCCATACCACATTAGCACACAAAGATTTAATTGTCAATTCAAATTAAATAGTAGTAGAGGTAGCTAAGGTATTAGCAGTAGTCGGAGAGGTTAGGATTAGAAGTTATTACTAAAGAAGTTTGATTTAGTGAGATAAGTTTAGAAAGTCAAAACTAGAGGTGTTGAAGAATCCAGAAGATTACGATTTCAGAGAACACAATGATTAAATGCACCTGCGCCATTGCAAACGGTTTCTAAGCCATGTCATTCAAGGTCTCTAACCATCGATTATCATCATCTCGCGGATCCCAACCAGGAAGTCGAAAATTACCGACACTCCACTCGTCAATGATTTCATGGATTTCTGCCATGTCTTTGTCTATCCGACTCCAAGTTTCTTCCAACCTCTTCGAGGCAGTCGGTGGTTAGGCATACTCAGCAAATGTCCCAACCACCTCAACTGACGAATTTTCATTACTTCATCTATTGATCTGCCATCCTTACATAGCACCCGTTTTTTAATAACAGTGTTGCTCACTCGGTTGTCCACGGATATGCAAGCAGTGCTTCTAAGACACCTATGATCGAAAACCAGTAACCTACGAATATCTTCTAGTCTCAATGGCCATGTTTCCCAGCCATATAGTAGGACGGAGCGAACGACTGCACTGTACACCCGTCCTTTAATCAGCAAACAGACATCTCGCCTACGCCATAAGTGACGCAGGTTGGCAAAAGTCAATCGAGCCTTCTGTATCCGTGCTGAGATTTCGTCAGTCACCAGGCCATCAGCACTGATGAGACTCCCAAGATAAGTAAAGCGGTCAACACGCTCGACAACTTCACTCGCCATCACTAATTCAGTTGCCGATGCAACCCACCCTTGAAGCAACATCCTACATTTCGAGGAGGAGAACCGCATCCTGAACACACTTGCATTGTTGCTTAGGGTAGTCAGAAAACTCTGAATTTTATTCTCGTGTACCATAATTCTTTGTTGACTTGTTTAGTGTGGTGAATATGATGTTTAACTATCTTACACCTTTCTCACACACATTAATCTCCACTGCCAATGATTTCAAGTGATGATCCAGTCAAGATTGACTATGATCACCAATAAATACTTATTACTAACTCACCACCCATGGTAGAGAATATATTTGCTGGCGATTTCGAGGTGTAAAAAGAACACCGAAATAAAAAAACTAGAAAATATAGGAGCACGATTGTTATCAGGCCGAAAAGGGATTTGTGGCGAGTTGTATCTCTAACTGTTTACCAATAAATCACGTGAAAAATACAAGGAAACCAATTAGAATTAAGTTTTGGCATCAGTATCCTTGAGTCAGCTCTTAACCTACGTTGATCTATAGCTTCAAAGCTTCTATCTTTATTACCTACTTCTGAGTTCAGCCTCCACGAAATTCATTATATTTCAATAGTAAGGTGTTTCCCTCGGACAACCAGCCTTCTCATTAGGAAGGAAGGGTTAGAAAAGGTCCACCCTAAAAATGTCACACTTCAACCTACCTCACGGATATCCGTCTCCGTCGGTAAGGATGCCCACTAAGGGCTTTTAAGAGTGGAGCTGATACTCAGAAAACCTTTCATAAAAAGGCCGTGCGTGACCTGCCTCAAGCAGTTGTTCATCGGGCTCTGCGGTCACGCTCCCTGGTCTCTAAAACCGACACTAATCTACCTTCCTCTTCAGGTTCCTCAAGAAACACCCTTCCACAGTGTGCGCAGACGGGAAGTAACATACGCTCTCATACCCATAAAAACACACGAGACCGAATCGATCACAATCAAATCCAAACAAGAGGAATTCAAATTAGAATTTTCGAGAATACAAAGAATAGATGCAGTGGCGCCATTGCAAACGATTTCAAGGTCTCTAACCATCGATTACTTTCGCCTTGCTGACCTCAACCAACATGACTCTGTTCACTTGTTGGTGACCTCAAGGATATCTGCCATGTTTTGTTCTGACCGACATTAGCTTTCATCTAACCTACTCTGACACAGTCAGAGGTTGGGTATATGTAGCACATGACCTAACCATTTCAACCGATTCACTACTTCACTGATTAGTTTGCCATTCTCACTTAGTACCCGTTTCCTAACAATCACACTGATTAGTTAGTTGATTGTCCCGAGATGTATGTGCAATGCTTTCAAAAGACACCTATGAATTTCCTCATCTCTAACTGACAGAATCGTTACAGATGCTGGTTACCCGAAAAGAGATACATCTTACTGTTGTCATACCACTATACAACCAACAGTAACAACTTCGCTTCGCCCTCAGACCTCAATGTAACATTTTACATTTTGAGATTTGAGAGATAAGATTATTATTATTATTATTATTATTATTATTATTATTATTATTACGATTATTATTATTACTCGATTGTGTTAATGAATCTAAAAAACCAAGAAAATTAATTTCAACACCCATAAATACACACACATAGAAAATTGAAAATTAAATTAACAAGTAACCAATGCAAAATGTGATTATCACTGGGGAATGATTTTTTTTCTTTATGGAGAGTTGGAATTTTTTCATGTTCCCCACAAAAAATCATAATAATGTAGACGTGTAAGTAATGTTTAATTTGCTAACGTAGCTGCTACCTAGATGTAGTAGTGGTCAGGTGTGCTTATCGTCATGACCCAACCAAGCTATATTGGCTGGAACATATGTTTCTGAAGGTCGTGATATACCAGTCAGGTCGATTGGAGAACAATGAGATTAAAAGCAGCTACACAAGGCCTGAGGGCGAAGTTGTACTGCTGACTTTGATGGAAGGGTGTGACAGACAGTAGTAAGGTGTATCCATAGAACAACCAGTATCTGCAGCGATGCTGCCTTCTCACAAGGGGTTAGAGAACGTCGACTCGAAAAATGACACACCGCACCTTACCTCACGGATTTCCGTCTCCGGCGGTAAGAGTGCCTGCCCACTAAGGGCTTTTGAGAGCGGGGCTAATACTCACAAAACCTTTCATAAAAAGGCCGTGCGTGACGTGCCCCTGGGCTCTGCGGTCAAGCACCCAGGTCGTCAAGGCCAACGATAATCTACCTTCTTTTTCAGGTTCCTCAAGAAATAACATGCCACGGTGTGAGCAGCCGGGAAGTGGCAACCGCCCGCATACCCGTAACAGCACACGAGACCAAATTGATCAAAATCAAATCCTTCTTACTATTCACCTAAATGCACCTATATCTCACAGTGTGTAAATGTTCACTCTGAAACTTGATTCTTAATGCCATAGCACTAACCAAATTTCAAATAAAATTATCATAGGTGATAGTTCAAATGAACAAATATATATACAACATTAGTTCATTATTGGAATAAAGAGTTCCTGTTTCATTGCTTAATTATGGTATTTGAGAGTCTGAGTGTATTTAATTGAAGAATTCTTATCTTATAACAAAGTAACTGTTAGGATATTCATCCAATATCTCAAGAGAATTATTGGTCAATTCCTACTGGTCAATTTTATGGTCCTCCTGGTAGATATCAATGTCACATGCTACAATGTTGTTTTTTATTGGTTGCCCTGACTTGCAATGTCATTTCAAATGTTGCTTCCTATTGGTTGTCTTAACTGTCAATGTCACAGATTTAGATGCTGTTTTCTATTCGACCAAGATGTATACATACGCATTATCTGTAGCGTTTTATGACTACCACCAGGACCAGGGCTCGGTCCCGGATCCCTAATCTGAGGTCATGATTCTCTTCTGGATTCGGACCTCGTACTTTCTGGATGCTTGTAGAATACAGGTTCTACTTCATATCAAGTCTTCTTATTTTTACTCAATATGGGGGTTGGGATAATCGGATTTGAGTAGCATGTCGTGTCGCCGGATCCTCGATCCTCGCTGTCGTTTTCTGATAAGGTAAACTCGCAATAGTTCAAGTATATCAAGTTGACGTGCTTACGTGCAGGCGTAACAGCAACCAGTTAAATCAATTTAAATATTCACCCACCAACGACAATAAGTGATAGTGTTGCGCAATACGGTGGATTGATTAAAGTTAAACATGATCAAATCTCATCTCAGTGGTCATGCTGTAGACTTAATGTACAGGATTTCATCCCAGCTTGCGAAGTCCGAAATCAACCCGAAGGGGAGGCCAGGACAGAGGTAATCTTGTAGCTCCACGAAGCGAGTGATAACAGGCGTATTTGTGTAGATAACTTAAAATTACTAGTATACTACATAAACAGTTGTGGTGGTGTCTGGTTCTCTGAGCTGGGTGTTTTGGTTGTGGAGCTTTCATTGTTCTTCTACTGAACAACAACATCATCAGCACAAACTTCAGATAGAAGTGAAGCATTCGAATTTCTCCACGTTTGACCTGTAGCTTGATTGGTTGCTGTTGACCTTAAACCTGTCGTTGTTTACACGTTTGTTTTGATTGCATCCCTCTTTTGATCTGTTTCTTGATCCTGTGTCACCTATGATTTTCCTGATTGGTTGATAAATTAGGTCAATGTCGATGTGTTTGTTGATTGCTGATTGACCTGACAGCAACAATCCAAGAACCCACAAAATCAACTGCATAAAACTTTGTTCAAGAGAGCGAAGACACTGCAGCACATATGAAGCACTAAAAAACGAGGAAAAACACCTGGTGACTATCTTCCAAAAGAACGGCTATCCACGCAACCTCATCTAAAAACATCAACCGAAATCATCATCAGAAGCGAAATCAAGCACAGCAACCACTAAACGGATCATCCTACCATATATAAAAGACATCGGAGCAAACAACACGACTGCTGAGACCATTTGGAATAGGTATGACACACAAACCAACAGAATCACTTCAATCAATCCTATGTAGACCAAAGGACGAAATGACAAAGGAAGAAAAACCAAATATCATCTACAAAATAAATCGCTCAAACTGTGAAAAACACTACATAGGACAAAGTGGACGTGAACACCAATTAACAGTCAAATGCCACGACAATTCTTCGCTTATATCATCAATACACACCGACAAATATGGACACACATTCGACTAGAACAACAATCGAAATATCGGGTAGGGGGAGGACAAAGAACACTAGGGAATTTTTAGAAGCTTGGCACTCACGTCAATCAGCATTCAACAAACACATCGACATTGACCTCATTTATCAACCAATCAGGAAAATCATAGGTGACACAGGATCAAGAAACAGATCAAAAGAGGGATGCAATCAAAACAAACGTGTAAACAACGACAGGTTTAAGGTCAACAGCAACCAATCAAGATCGAGGTTAGCAGAAACAAGCTACAGGTCAAACATGGAGAAATTCGAATACTTCACTTCTTCTATCTGAAGTTTGTGCTGATGATGTTGTTGTTCAGTAGAAGAACAATGAAAGCTCCACAACCAAAACACGCAGCTCAGAGAACTAAACACCACCACCACCACAATCATCCACCTGAGCTACAAATCTTATCCACTATCTCAAAACACAAATCAAACAGTATTAACAGTTGGATGAGAAAAAAACCGCAACTTTTTTGTTTTAACTTATATATTGAAAAATGATCAGTTTTTTAATCTGCTCATCAAATAATATGCTTGAAACTAATACGAGTTCATTTTACTCAGTAAACAAAACGAAAGTCAAAATGATACACGGACATGATAGACTATTTGAATCCGTTGTTCCTAAGTCATACTAACAAAAAATAAGAACTCTCTTCATAAGACGTAGAGAATGCATTGTATACAAGTATCCAGAAAATACAAGATTCACAAACACACAACATAAGTTTATTTATACAATTGATAGCAACGACTATGAAAGAGTCACAAATTGACATAGCAAAATAATCTATCAAAGATTTTTCCAATTAGAAAATGTAAGCTGAAGGTTAATTAAGCGTATTTTGCGCAATAACGATAACGAGAGAAATGATTCAACGATTCATTGATTCACAATAACTTATTATGACTAAAATTATAATAGTAATAATAATAATAATCACAATTAATATTGATTAGTATAATGATTGAACTCACTTGAAAATGAGGCGATGATACACATTTAGCTAATTGTGTAAAAAGTGGACGAATAATTTTTCGAAATTCTGATGGATCTACAACATCTAAAATTTCTTCTAATTCATTTAAAAACATCACTTCTTTAGGACTATGAGTTTTAGGCCAAAATTTTAACAAACTAAGAACAACCTAATGAAAGCAAAAAAAAAGGTTATAAAAATTGTAAGTACATTTATTTCAGTCAGTCAGTCAGTCAGTCAATTGAAACGTAGAACTTCGTACGTACCTATGTACATAAGTTCATGTTGCCATAACCACATTAGCACACAGAGACGCAAATGTCAAATCAAATCCCCATAGTGATAAAGACAGTAGAGGTATTAATGGTAATGAAGAAGACTAGGGTTGGAAGATATTGTTCAAGAAGAAGTATAATTCAGTGAGATAAGTTTTGAAAGACAAAGCTGTAGAGGTGCTGATGAATCCAGAAGATTAGCATTTGAGAGAACACAAAGAATGGATGCACTTGCGCTATTGCAAACGATTTTGAGCCATGTCGTTCAAGGTGTCTAACCATTGATGACTTTCGTCTCGCGTACCCCAACCAGGCAGTCGACACCTACCAACATGATAAGTGAAACGATCAACACGCTCGACTACTTTACTCCCTATCACTAGGTTCAGTTGCCGATGCAACCCAATCTTGAAGCAACGTTATGCATTTCGAGGGTGAGAACCGCATCCCGAACATGCTCGCATTGTTGCTTATGGTAGTCAGCAGACTCTGCATTTTGTACATTCATTTGAAATAAGAAAAAAACATGTTTGTAGCATAGCCATATAATTAAGCGAAATTCATGTTAGTGAACATTAATGGCAGGATGGAAAGAGAGAGAACGTATGGACATATTCGAAAGGATCGCGAATAAAGGAACATAAGCTCATCATGATCTGATCTGATCAGGCATGTATAGTCGCTAACAGAGAAATCGCACTACATTCTTGTATACGAAATTAAAAGATGAAAACTATATACCAAATGCTATAAACCGTAGGATTTGAAGGATTTGATTTTGACCAATTCGATTTCGCGTGCTGTTACTGATATGAGGGCGGTTGTCACTTCCAGGCTGCCCACGCCATGGAAGGGTGATTCTTAAGGGACCTAAAAATGGAGATAGATTAGTGTTGGCCTTACAGACCTGGTTGCGTGACCTCAGAACAAACGGGACAAGTGCTTGAGGCCGGTCGCGCACGGACATTTTATAAGAGGTTTTTTGAGTATTACCTCCGCTCTTGAAAGCGCTTAGTGGGCACCCTTACCGCCGAAGACGGATATCCGTGAGGTGTGACATTTTTAGGGTCGACACTTTCTAACCCTTCCTTTCTTGTGAGAAGGCAGCATCGCTGCAGATGTTGGTTGTCCGAGGGAAACACCTTACTGCCCTCACACCCCTCCATCACAGTCAGCAGTACGACTTCGCCCTCAGACCTTGAGAAGCTACTTTTATTCTCATCGTTCTCCAATCGACCAGCCTGGCATGGTAGAACCTTCAGGAACAAATATTCCAGCCATTATAGCTCGGCTATAAACTGCGATGATGGGTACGAAGCATTCACCTGGTTTCGAATTAATAGTGCTCATGGACTTCAGGACGCAGACAGAATTGATGGCATATAGAAATTTGTTATTGGTCACTGTATCTTTCCTGGCCGATCCTAACTTTCTTTCAACCTATTCCTACACTACAAAACAAAGCTCGACGAGGCAGTCGGTGGTCAGGCATACTCAGCACATGTTCCAACCACCTCGACTGATCTAGTTACATTACTTCATCTATCGACCTGCCATTCTTATCTAGCACGCGTCTCCTAATAACAGTGTTGCTCACTCGGTTGTCCCAGGATATATGAGTAATGCTTCCAAGACACCTGTGATTGAAAACCAGTAACCTACGAATATCTTCTACTCTTACTGGCCATGTTTCACAGCCATAAAGTAAGACGGAGCGAACTACTGCACAGTACACTTGTCCTTCAGTCAGCAAACGGATATCTCACCTATGCCATAAGTGACGCAGGTTATTAAGTGAAATGTTTATCTGTTCATCAATAATTGGGGAGTACGGAGGCAGTAAATTGTCAGGCAACAAACTTTGTTGAGCTTTTTAGTAGTGAAATAGTTTACAAAGGCTTATAGATAAGTAAGTAAATGCTTTACAAGCAATCCACTATAAATAACCTTGACTAGAAAGTATACAAACGGTAGTTGGATAGAAAAATCTTAACTAATCAACTGATTTATTACAAAGTAAACTACCGAACAATATGTATATTGGTCATTTAAGACAAGAAACAAACATCTTGTCAATGTTGTTAACGTTTTTATCAATGTTAATACAAGTTTCCTAATGCAATCGTATCAAGATACCATCAACTACTTAAATGAATGACATTTAGAATGACAAATATATATATATATATATTCAGTTCCAATCATTTTAAAATATAAACTAACCTGTTGTGTAAGTGTTGGATCTTTTTCTAAAAATTGTATTACACAATAAGCTAATTGTGCATGATATATACTGACTGATTTGACTTTATGCAAAGGTAGTAAAACACGCATTAAAAACATTTTATGTTCTTCTTTCAACGGTAATGCAAATCCATTGATGATACTATAATAAACCGAGAGACGAAAAAACGAAACATGTAGAGAAGAGAAGAGAAGCGAAGAGAAGAGAGAAAACAAACTATGAGAGCATTACTGTTAGGATATTTATCCAATAACCGAAGAGAATAATTGGTCAATTCCTATTGGTTCATGCGTACTGATCGTCTTAACAGTCAATGTCACAGATTTCGATGCTGTTTCCTATTCGACCAAGATGTATATATACGCATTATCTGTAACGTTTTATGACCACGACCAGGACCAGGGCTCGGACCCGGATCCCTAGTCCGGGAATCCTGATTCTCTTCTGAACTTGGACCTCGTACTTTCTGGATGCTTGTAGAATACACGCTCTACTTCATATCAAGTCTTCTTTTTTTAACTCAATAGAAGGGTTGGAACACTCGGATTAGAGTAGCCTGTCGTGTCGGCGGAGCCTCGATCCTCGCTCTTGTTTTCCAACTAAGGTAAACTTGTAATAGTTCAAGTATATCACAAGTGACTTATTTACATGGATGCGTAACAATTATACACAAAATTCACAGATGTGATATGCCCACACAGTGAAAGACGGATATTTTTTAAAAAATACATATCAGTGGAACACACAAAGAGGGTTATAAATTAGTTTGATGATTTAGATCTGAGTGTTTTTTTACAGTAAGAAATTAGGGTTCAAAAAGTTCTATAAAGTAGACCAGTCAGAGAGTTACAACGTAGAAATTGATACGCATATACATCAGTTCAAGTAACCAAAGCCTCCATTTTCTGTTTATCATAACATGTAACCCAGCTATAATCGTTATTCCTTTCAGTAATACAGTCTCGATTTCTCAGTAACTAAGAAAGAACAAATTACGAATTACAAATGCCCTAGTACAACTGAGATTCACATAGGTTAGGCAGAATCCAGAGAGAGTAGCGCCATGAGGTTAAACATAAAGATTTAATTACCTGTGACTCTCGAAAAATGAAGATGTTGGATAAACTTATGCGCTTCAAGATTAGTTTATTAGTAACAAATACATTTGTGATTCAGTCAGTCAGCTGCAACGTAGAACTTCGTACGTAAGTACATCAGTTCATGTTGCCATACCACATTAGCACAGACGGATATAATTGTCAATTCAAATACAATAGTGGTAGAGATAGTAGAAGTATTACTGGTAAAGGAGAAGGTTATAGTTCCAAGATATTATTGAAGAAGTATAATTCAATGAGATAAGTATAGAAAGACAAAACTAGAGGTGTTGAAGAATCCAGAAAATTAGGATTTCAGAGAACACAAAGAACGAATGCACCTGCGCCATTGCAAACAGTTTTGAGCCATGTCATTCAGGGTCTCTAACCATCGATTATTATCATCTCGTGGATCCTAAACTGGTAGTCGAAACCTACCGACATAACTCAGTCCACTTGTCAGTGACTCTGTGGATTGCTGCCATGTTTTGGTCTGGCCGCCCCTAACTTTCTTCAAACCTACTTTACCTGCTACAGAAACATTAACAAACATAAAAAATTACACCACGATAGACAGATTACTTATTGATAAAATCAACGAACAGATAACGAATGAGGTTGTTGCGTAAAATCCATTTGGTTCAGAGAAATAACAAAACCATAAAAGGCTAATTCATTTTGACCACTAAACCGAAGATAATGTGTTTTGTGGATAAGCACTTTTTTTTCATTTTAATCTTGTTACAATCCTTAAATTACATAAGTAGTACAAATGTCCTAACTAAAAAGAGTCAGTCAGTCAGTTACAACGTGAAACTTCGTACGTATGTACATAAGTTCATGTTGCCATAACCACATTAGCACAGAGACACAAATGTCAAATCAAATCCCATAGTGTTAAAAATAGTAGAGGTATTAATGGTAATGAAGAAGACTAGAATTTGAAGATATTATTCAAGAAGAAGTATAATTCAGTGAAATAAAGTTAGAAGACAAAGGTAGAGGTGCTGATGAATCCAGAAGATTAGCATTTGAGACAATACAATGAATGGATGCACTTGCGCCATTGCAAACGATTTTGAGCCATGTCTTTCAAGGTCTCTAACCATTAGTGACTTTCGTCTCGCGTACCCAACCAGGTAGTCTACATCTACCAACTAAAAAGAAACCTACATTTTCTCAGAATGAATCAATTAGCCAAAAAAACGGATCAACATTTGATTAAAATCATGAATCGATCAATGTAAGACTACCATTAGAAACCTGGACAGCTGTTTCATCCTGGTATATAACTCATCAGCAGCGCGTATCTACGACTGCTGCAACTCGTGGATTGTATTTTTGATTACAATATAGAGTTATTCAACTATCTTCGCAACCTTATAATGCAAAATATCATGTACCCACTTGTCACAAGCTCAGTGAGGAAGTTTCCCCTCAGTTCTAATGAGAAGTCATAACCAGTGTAGTTCAAACCTCTTCAGATATGAAGCAGCTGTCACTGTAGAAAACTTCTGCTTCTCGTAGGACTCGAACCCACGACTTACGATCTTACTGTCGAACATCTAAACTTTGGACAACTAAGCAGGTATCCATCAATCGGTCAACCCACGCTCTTGCGCATAGGGTTTTGGAGATTGTTGAGTGACTTTACTGTTATTACGAATCCAATACTGCGAGTAGAACGAGTCGTGGGATGAGCACTGCCGATAACGAAATGGCCATCCAGTGAGCTGTCAAGTTTCTAATGATGATCTTACATTAAATCAAATTTATGAATTCGAAGTAACTCAACAATCTCTACAACCTTCTCATGCAAATTATCATTTAATTAAACAATCAAACATACCTGCCTAATATTTCTAACAATTCAGCAATTCCATTATGAACTTCTGTTTCATAAATAAATCTATCAATTCCAAACAAACGAAAATGTTAGTACACACAAAACAAACAATTTATTAAAGAAAATAAAAAAAGGAATAATAATGTTAGGATATTCACCAAATATCCTGAGAATACTATTTTTAGAAGTACAATCCTATTGGTCGATTTCTATTGGCCGAAATTATGATCGTTCTAACCGTCAAGGTCAAATACTTCAAATGTTGACTCCTATCGGTCATCTGGACTGTCAATGTCATTCAATTGTTCTTTTCTATTGGTCGGCCTAAACTGTCAATATCACAATTGTTGATGCTCTTTCTTATTCGACCTTAATGTATAAATACGCACTATCTGAAAGACTTAATAATTCCGTTTCTCCTGCCTACCTCTCTTCTGTATTCGACCAAATAAACAACTTCATCCCACGGTGTTGCGTTCTGATATCTAGGCATACGTAACACATGTCCCAACCAACTCAACTTATGAAGTTTCACTACTTCATCTATTGATTTGCTATCCCTACCTAGAAATCGTTTCCTAACGACAGCATTGCTTATACGGTTATCCCAGGATACACGAGCAATACTGCGAAGACATCGGTGATTGAAGACTAGTAACCTACGAAACTCCTTTGCCTACAACGGCCAAGTTTCGCATCCATACGGTAGGACGGAGCGAACTGATGCACAATACACTCGTCCTTTGTTTAACAAGCGGACATCTCACCTGCGCCATGGGTGATGCAGGTTGGCAAAAGCTAATCGAGCCTTCTGTATCCGAGCTGAGATTTCGTCAGTCACCAGGCCATCAGCACTGATGAGACTCCCTAGATAAGTGAAGCGGTCTACACGTTCGACTACTTCACTCCCTATCACAACTTCAGGTGCCGATGCAACGCAGTCTTGAAGCAACATTTTGCATTTCGTGGAGGAAAACCGCATCCCGAACATGCTTGCATTATTTCTTAAGGTATTCAAAAGACTCTGCAGTTTGTCAGAGTCTTTACCGAATAGAACTATGTCATCGGCATATTGTAGGTCAGTAAGCAAGCCACCTGGTAAGAAAGTCGACTCCTGAAAATTCAGACGACGATAGATAAAGTTACATCTAGCAGCATGTCTATGACAACATCAAAACAAAAATGTGGAAAGTGTACATCCCTGGAGGACACCAATTGAAATAAAGAATTCTGATGACAAATCAGAACACTGATTATTATCATCATCATTTTGAAAATTACATGAATAAATATTAATAATCATAATAACCAATGAATAATTCTTACTTGTAAAATATATTACCAAATTGTTTACGAATAAATGCACGTAAACCAAGAAATTTACCATAAACACGATGTAATATAGTTTTGACAAGATCACGTTCACGAGGATCTTCACTATCGAATAATTCTAATAGCTGTGTAATTTTTTTTTATAATAGACAGTTTTAAAAAAAAAAAAAAAGGTAAATGAAATTCAATAATTATTCATTCTATAGATATTATTGTTGTTTTAAGAATTCAATGAAAAATAAATTATATTTTAGAAAAAAAATAGATTTACATAACAACGGAATTAGGCAAATGATGAAAATTAGGCAGGGGGAAGAAATGAATATGAAAAAAGCTTATTGACCCATTTTCATGAAAAAAAAAACAAGAAAAAATAGTTCGTTCTTATCTACATAAAATAAATTCTATATAATATAACTACTGATATAATGCAGAGTTTTCTGATCCACCTAAGCAACAATGCAAGCATGTTCGGGATGCGATTTTCCTACTCAAAATGCAAAATGTTGCTTCAAGATTGGGTTGTATCGGCAACTGAACTAGTGATAGGGAGTGAAGTAGTCGAACATGTAGACTGCTTCACGTATCTCAGCAGTCTCGTCAGTGCTGATGGCCTGGTGACTGACCAAATCTCAGCATACAGAAGGCTCGACTGACTTTTGCCAATTTACGCCGTTTGTGGCGTAGGCGTGATATCCATTCGCTAACCAAAGTACGAGTGTACTGTGCAGCAGTTCGCTCCGTCTTACTTTATGGCTGTAAAACATGGCCAGTGAGAGTAGAAGATATTCGTAGGTTATTGGTTTTCGATTATATTTGCATTCGAAGCATTGCTCGTATATCCTGGGATACCCGAGAGAGCAACGCTGTTATTAGGAAACTGGTGATAGGTAAGAATGGCAGATCGATAGATGAAGTAATGAAACTGTCAGTTGAGGTGGTTGGGACATGTGTTACGTATGCCTAACCACCGACTGCCTCGACGAGCTTTGTTTTGTAGTGTAGGAGTAGATTGGAGGAAAGTTAGGGGCGGCCAGACCAAAACATGGCAGCAATCCATGAAGTCGTTGACAAGTGTAGTGAGTCATGTTGGTAGATGAAGGCTACCTGGTTGGGGTCCGCGAGATGATGATAATCGATGGTTAGAGACCCTGAATGACATGGCTCAAAATCGTTTGCAATGGCGCCGGTGCATTCATTCTTTGTGTTCCCTCAAATTCTAATCTTCTGCATTCTTCAACACCCCTAGTTTTGTCTTTCAAAACTTATCTCACTGAATCATACTTCTTGAATAATATCTTCTAATCCTAACCTCTCCGACTACTGCTAATACATTTACTACCTCTACTAATATTGTATTTGAATTGACAATTATATCCGTCTGTGCTATTGTGGTACGGCAACATGAACTGATGTAATTACGTACAAAGTTCTCTACGTTGCATCTGACTGACTGATTGACTATTCCATGTAAACATATGCGTATATTATGAGATTCTATTCAATGGCTGCTGCTTTATATATTGATATTTTCATCAAATCAAATGATCAAAACCAGTGAATATTGACTGCTGTTAGCGGTAGCATTGTTGAATTCAATGTGTTTAGCTGGATAAATTTAGAAATTCTACTTTCAAACTGATGCTATGTATGAACATTATAATTTGAAGTAAACGAATAGCATATTAACTAAAAAACAAGTAACATTATAATCTGACAAATCAATAGGACATCTAATAAATATGTTGGTATAATGTCACATTTCTATTTTTATAATAATATTTTATAGACCAGTAATTATTAGTATTCACAAGTACCTTGTAGTTCAATCTATATAACTTGAAAAGTATATATATATATATATATATATATATATATATATATATATATATATACAATTCTTTGAGAGAACTATGATAAGTTACAGAACAACATTGTAAGGAGTATGAGGACCACCCTAGCGCTTACTGATTACATAACAATTTATTATCAAAAATTTTTTTCTGACAGAAAAAAAAAAATATATATATATAATTAATCAAAGATAAGATATGAATAGTATTTTCTTGAAAAGAAAATGGACATACACAAGAATCAAGAATGTATGCATTTTCATGAACACCTTAAAATGTCAATATGAATATTCATAATTTTCAAATACACATGTTTTTTTTACTTTGCTAAAAATCATGCATCGATTCATGTTAGACTGTTTTTAGAAACATGTAAGCACTGGAAGACAGTCATTTCATCTTGATATGCGACTTATCAGCAGCACTGCGCATCCATGACTTCTGCAAGTTACAGGAGTCAAATTAAGGACCTTCGGTTATGTGCGCGAAAACTTAACGTACGGACCAGTGATTGAGCCGATAACTAACAGTATTATTGTCTAACTTCGATCAATCCACGATCTTGCGCAACCTCACCCAGTGTCTTCAGACAGCACTGCATCACATCCGAACAGCGGTGAATTTTGCTGGTCACAACGTCTCACTAGAATTGTGAGAAACTTTCTCACGGACCTACCTAATCACTAGTGAGTACATGTTAATGGCACGGGAAAAACAATACTTTTTAATAAACAGATCATTGATATGCTTGAAACTATTACAAGTTCATCTTAGTCGGTAGACGAGAGCGATGATCCAGTGACCCAATGAGCTACTCTAATCCGAGCATCTCAAGGCCCCACTTAGTAGAGGAAGAAGTCTTGAAATGATGTAGAAAGTGTATACAACAAAAAACTAGAAAATCGAGGTTTACAAGCACACAAATTGAGCTCATTCATACATCATGAAAACGTCCTTGGGGCAACCAAAAAATAATACATCAATCAGTAACAGTCAAGGATTTTCCAGGCGGGAAACGTAATCTCAAGGTCAACTGATCAGCCCATGCTCGAAAACACAAAATCCAAAATGAGGATCTTCATTAAGTGAGTTCTGGGGAACTAACATCCCCAACAATGATCTACTACTCATAGATACACTAGTTTTAATATAAAGTTTTGTAGAGAAATGCCAAAAATGTGAAAATCTCAACTATATAAGTCATTCTATTGTTGAATTCAGTAGATGAGAAAAAGCAAAGACAGAAAAAACAACAAACCAATCAAAAACATTCAAGATGCTGAACCGATTGATAATTAAGCCAAAAATCATATTCATTCTTCCTGTTAGAGCTTTGGAGATTTGTGTTTTTTACACATTTGAAATCATCAATCAATCAACCATTGTTAGACCAGCATTAGAAACCTGAAAGCACCGGACGGCTGTTTCGTCCTGGTATGGTGGGACTCATCAGCAATGCGCATCCACGACTCCTGCACCTCGCAAGATTCGAACCAGGGATCTTCGGTATTGTGCGCGAACGCTTAACCATCGGACCACTTGGCCGGCATCTAACGGTGTTGATGTCCAAATTTGATTGATCAACGGATTTTTGCGCGACGTCACCAATTTGTCTTTGGTAGTTACTGCCTACACACGACAGGGTTGAACTCTATTGGTCACGTCTTCCCACTACAACTCCGAGAATTTCCTCACGAAGATAGTCACTAGTGAGCACTGTTACGATAGTTTCTTTTAGAGCTTTGGAGATTTGTGTTTTTTTTACACATTTGAAATCATCAATCAATCATTGCTAGACCATCATGAGGTCGCGCAAAAATCCGTAGATCAATCAAAGTTAGACATTAACAACGTTCCATACTAGCCGACCCAGTGGTCCGATGGTTAGGCGTTCACGTACAATGCCGAAGGTCCCGGGTTCGAATCCTGCGACGTGCAGAAGTCGTAGATGCGCACTGCCACTGATGAGTCCCACAACAGCAGGACGAAACGGCCATCCGGTGCTTTCAGGTTTCTAATGCATGTCTAACAATGATTGATTGATTGATTGGTTGATTTCAAATATGTAAAAAAAATTCACACTTCTATCAATAAACACAAAAAAAACGAACATTTTGAATAAACAATAATGAAGATTATCATTTTTTTCTTAAAAAAAACACTATGACCTGATCAAACAAAAAAATTAGGGTGAAAGAAAAAGAAAAATGTAGACATGTGACATGAATATTATTATTATTATTATTATTATTATTATTATTATTAGTCTATAGAATAGAAAATTCAATAACGTTCAAGGTCGATGATAGTGAAGAACAAGCAAGAACACATATAACGAAAAAAAAAACATACTTCACATTGATACGAAACAAAAATGATAATTACATTTTTATTTTGTGTGGATAAAATAACTTTTAAAATAAAAATGAATATATATATATATATATATATATATATATATATTACTGATCTGAAATTATAATTATAGGCTGTCATTCGAAACATGTACGCATTCGACGATTGTTTCATTGTAGTATGAGACTCGACAACGGTATTCACACATGACTCCCACGCAAAGGATGATGGAACCCAGGAAGGAACTTGCGGGAGATTAACTTTTGGAAGATCAATGAGTCTGTATAAAAAGTTCTTCTGAATAATTTTGTAGATTTAGGTAAAATTATAAATTAAATCAGCTATTTTCTTAAAACTGACAAAGAGATAATTAAATGTTGCTTCAAGATTGGGTTGTATCGGCAACTGAACTAGTGATAGGGAGTAAAGTAGTCGAACGTGTAGACCACTTCACTTATCTCAGCAGTCTCATCAGTGCTGATGGCCTGGTGACTGACGAAATCTCAGCACGGATACCGAAGCCTCGATTGGCTTTTGCCAACCTGCGTCACTTATGGCGTAGGCAAGATATCCGTTTGCTGACTAAAGGACGAGTGTACTATGCAGTAGTTCGCTCCATCTTACTTTATGGCTGTAAAACATGACCAGTCAGAGTGGAAGATATTGGTAAATTACTGGTTTTCGACCATAGGTGTCTTTGAAGCATTGCTCATATATCGTGGGACAACCGAGTGAGCAACGCTGTTATTAGGAAGCGGGTGCTAGGTAAGAATGGCAGATCAATAGATGAAGTATTGAAACTTTGTCAATTGAGGAGCTTGGGACATGTGCTGAGTATGTCTAACCACCGACTGCCTCCACGAGCTTTGTTTTGCAGTATGAAGTAGGTTGCACGAAAGTGAGTAGCGGCCAGACCA